GAGTATAGTCGTGGAGTTGAAGTCCACCCCTCTTAAAGTGGCCAAGGTTGAGAAACACTGCTTTATCCACTACACCAAACTGACTCTTTCTAGTTTATTCTATTTCACAGTACAGAGGAGAGACAGAGATTAGATCCAGCTGCTCCTGTCTGGGCAATCTTGAGACTGGCACTCCCCAACCTCAAAAGGGTTCTAGATCAGAGCTTTTCTAACTGCAGTGAGATGCCACTAAATACCTCGCATCTTAAAATGCACCTTCTGATGAATCAGTTCAGGATCTTAATCTGTGGATTCAATTTGCAATCTCAACGTATCAAGCAGACTGAATGTCTACCCTCAAGAAAAGAGAATGAAAACCGGTGTGTTATTTCCCACGGCACCATGACAAGCTACTTGTTTGCATTCTGTATTACTTGTGCTACGATAGTTCTTGGGGCAGATATCAAAACTGACAGGAGATAAATTGCGCAGGGGAGCGCAATGTTTGGACTGAATGAAGGTTGCAATCTGCTATTGGCAATCTCAGCCTGTAACTCCACAGGACAACAGTGAAGACGAGGTAGAAATTTGAGGCCAAGATCTGCCCCATGCACAGTTTCCGGTGGAAAATAATGTACTATTTAATCTTATTGTTCCTGTCTATTCTGCATGGGCCAAACCATACCTAGAACACTGCACCAACTTTTGGGGAGGACACCGATGAACTGGAGCATGCCTGGAAAACAGCAAACTGGATAAGGAGTTGGTAAGGAAAACTTATGAGGAATGGTTGGAGGCACTAGGTGTATAGGAAGTCCTCACTTAGTGACCACAATCAGAAATGGCAACTCAGTCGTTAACCAAAGCGGTTGCTAACTGGAACCTCAACCGACTTCAGCTTTCCTTTGGTTTACAGACTGGCGAAGGCCATCAATGTAAGGATGGGTCGCAAAGTTACTTTTTCATCACCGTGGTAAGTGCAAACAGTTGCTAAAAAGGCAGTCGCTAAACAAGGACCTGCATTTAGAAGTGAAGAGAATACTGTGGGGAGACATGACAGCTGTCTTTAAAAATCTGAAGAGCTGTCAGGTAGAAGACAGGCCAGAATTATTCAGAGCTGTTCCCCAATACAGTCCAAGAAGCCATTACAAAGTTGATCGGGTTGGATAGCTGGCTGGACGGCCATCAGTCAGGGATACAAGCAATGGATTCCTGCCTTGCTCAGGGGCCGGACTTCCAACCCTTCCATTCTACGAAATCAGACCCTTCTTCTTTAATACAGAACACAACTGAGCCCCCAGGGCTGACCAGGGTTTCTCTAGCCCCGAAAGGAAATCTCGAACCTTCGCACCCTCCCGAGTCTGAACCTTCACCCACCACAGTGATGGGCCTTCCCAGCTGTCTCTGGAGGTGCCTGGAATCAAACCAGGGACCCACTGTGGCTGCCGGGCCTTCTTGTGACAGCCACACTTGCCTTGGTGAACAGCTTCCTGAAGATCCGCATGAGAAAGGCTGCCAGTCACAATGCACAAAAACATGAGCCGATGCCACTTGAGCTCACCAAAAATTTTAAAAAAGGAAGGTCCAGGTTCTTTATTTTGCATTAATACATTGCAATTGCTTGTACAGAGTCCAGCATGTAAATACTACAGAGGGATCCACCCAAAGGGGTGTTTGCAACCTTAGTGCACGTTTCCCCAAGCGAAGGCTAAATCCTTTTAACTCTTTTTTTCTTAAAAATACATTAAAGAACGTACCACACACATATTGCACTTGTCTCCATATTAAAAGATTGTGGAACCCCATATTACATCTCACCAAAGTCTCTTCAAAGGGACCTGCATTTAAACGGATAAAGCTAGTTATTTCCTAAACAGTAGCATTCACAAACCCCTCGAATGACCCACACAGTAGATTGGACAAAAGCGGCTATTTTGAACTAGCTGGAACACAGAGGAAGAGGTGGTACCCTACAGGTACGCGAGTGTGGCTGGGAAAACACGAATTCCCTCAATTGCTGTGGTAGGAAAGACACCAAAGGTCGAGAAACACCGACTGTTCGGCGCAGGGAGGGAGGGAGGGAAGGAGGAGACACCTGAACCAGCTTCTTTACATCCAGAGCTTCAGCCCCACAGACAGGAAAAAGGGAACTGCCCACAGAATGAGGCCGGGTCACTCTGCAGCCCTGAATCTGCACCCGCTGGCTACAAGATGGGCTCTGGAAGCACGGTTGGGAGCCAGGCCAGCTCGATGGCGTGTTTCCTAGCCTTCAGCAAACCTGGCAGGAACACAGGCAAGGGACCGAAGAAGTCTCCAGCAAAGAGATGCCCGCTCACAAGCTTCCTACCCGTGAGCTCTAAGAAGGATGACTGCGCAAAAGCAGCAGCCTTCTGCACGCGCTAAGAGAAAGCACACTTGCTCCTTAGAAGGCGCGCCAGCAACGCAGCAGCCCGTAAGCAGGTGCCTGGCCCAGCGAGGCTCTGGCTACCTCAGACCAGTCTGCTGCGATGGGACAGGCTGGGTGGCGAGCCTCAGCCGGCTGGACGCAGTTCAAGGGCTCGCATGGCCTTGGAGGGCTCTTCCTCCACAGACGAGAGGAGAGGAATGGCTGACTTGGGCTACGTTCCCCCACCCTGCCCCTTCCTTCCTGTGCAACAGGGGCACCCGAGACGGTGAGCTGGGAGGGCTGCCGGGCTTCCTCCCGCAGCTCGCAAGGAAATAAGGCTGGGCTGAGCTCCTCCCGTGGGTGAAATGCACAAGGGATCCCTTTGAAGAAAGGCGCTCCAGGAGCTGAGACAGACGCAAGGTTTTCACTCCTGCTCCGTGGGGCGCGAAACACCCTCAAAAGCCACCAGCTTCCTTCTCAGAATGGCTGGAGGTGGGGGGAGGAAGCAGGCTTCCCGCTAGGATGGGCCTCCTGCCCCCGGGGCTGTCCCGTTTCAAGCTGCTCCTGCATCCCTTCCAAATGAGGGCTGGCCAGCTATTTCAGCAGAGGATTTCTTTGTGCAAATTTTGGAGAGCCACTCCGGGCACGACTGGAGCCGTCGGAGGGACACCGATATTGGGACGACCTAATTTTCTTCTCTAAAACTTGTCAATATTTTTAAAGCAGGGCAGCAGAGATCCAGTCCGCCTGGGGCTGCAGCCTCCTCCCCCAAATCCTATCGCAGTCACCCTGCAACAGCGAGTGGCTCGGCCCAGACGTCGGCGGACCCCCAGAATGAAACCCGAGGCCCCCCCTTGCTTTCTACCAGGCGGCTTTGCTGGGTTACCATTTTTTTTGTGCTTAAACCAACGGGTGTTGTGCTTCAGTCTTTACCAGCTTCCACCAGAATGCTTGGAACCGCACGGTCTGTCTCCAATGCTAAGAAGCCCCTCTTGAGGCAAAGTCAAAGTATTCTCGTGCTCTTCCTAGGGAGGCAAACGCAATTGCTTTGCAGAGCAGACCCCGGTTGAAGTGATTAACAAGTCAACGGTTACTGATCCTAAAATATTGCTGCAATACTTTTTTTTTTTTAAGGAAAAAAAAAATCAGACCTAGAGATGAGCGAGTCAGAAACACTTATGGAAAAACGTTAAACCTGCATTCCACATGGTGGAACCCGGTCTCTGAAGGGACTTTGGTGTCAGCCTGGACAACAGATGGGATGGTTTTTTTTTAACTTCAGAAATGAAAAAAAGAGAGAAAGAAAAGGTTTCAGAAAGAATTGAAAAAAGGCACAGCACTATCACTTCACATGGGTTTTCTGATAAGCTTATTTTGCTTTGTCCTTAAAACACTACCCCCCTAAATAATTGCCCAAATATGCAAAGCCTAAGAACAACCACCAATGCACGCTCTGTTAAGTCCAAGTAGGTTTGCTTCCTCTAAAAAAGAAGCTACAAAGGGCAGCTTATAACAATTTGTCCAGTGATCAAGTTCTCCCCACGGTTCCTGAAACGGTTTAGCTTCAGTTCCCCCCCCCCCTTCCCTGCTGATCTTTGGAGCACCTCAGAAATCCTAGATGTTAACTCCAAGTTTAATTCTGACACAGATCTAGGGACACTTCCATAGACAATCCAGGGACTCCTCAAGGTGTGCGAAGATTAGGAGTTCCCTGGGAGTGACCAGCTGACAAAAAGGAGAGAAGGAGAGGAGGTCTTGTGTGTCCCCTGAAGATCATCTATGGCAGTGTTTCTCAACCTTGGTCGCCTTAAGAAGGGTGGGCACCCAACCCCCACAAAATTCCCCCCCCCCCCCCC